CCATAGCAGACAGAACTTATTGTGCAGGGGGAGACTGGTGTGGTGAGATCAGGTGAGTATGTGGGCTCCTTTGCAGTGTTTTTCAATGCGGCCGCAGAACATAGGATTCTTAATAAAGACTGAAAGTAGATGGCAGATATTTTCTGGCACCTAATATTTTGACAAGCCTTGCATGAAAGGCTTTTCGTTTTCTTACCTGGAATATGGGGCTGAAGTATCAAACTGCCCGTGATGTCGCAAACAAAAAAGAATATCACCAGAACATCTCTGTGCTAATAGTCGCTGACAAGATGAGAAATGCAGGGCATCTCTTAATGCCCAACCTCCAGCAAGCACTTATCGCCTTTTCTCACGCTTTCGCTCTGCGTAGATTGTTGAGGCTTGCAAGATGCCAAAGCATTGCCAAATGTAGGAAGCTCCTCCCTGCCATTCTCGTCTTACATTTGGTCCTCCAGGCACACTCCAAGTTGGTACAAAAACATGTGATGGTCTACTGAACACCCAGACACAATTCGAGCGATATGTTAGATATCGTCGTTAACGGAATGCAAATGGCTGGGAGTGTCTTACAAATGTCCGGCCTCTATGCATTGCCGAAGGTAGGAAGCTCATGCTGGAGGCAGAGAACTGAGGTTTCTCCCAGTGTCCTCACCTCGTGAGCGACTTTTAAAAGTGGCAATGCTACACCATGCAATAAAGGTTTTTACGAAACCAATTTGTGGTTGATCTTATCAAAAGCACGTTATAAATCAAAATAAATTATATGAACTTGCTTCAGTCAAAAACAAATGGTGCTGTGTGTTCAAATTTACATAAAATAGTTTTTCCTGAGCAACCTTCGAAAAAAAATTGCATTGAATAGTGCCGCTTTTTAACTGGAGTAGAAAGACCCATGTCTGTGTATAACTATCTAGACACTTTCAAACGAGCATACAGTAAGGAAACGAGGCAATGAATGTCTACCCTATACATGTCACCAGCGTCCTTTACTTGTACTACGAGACCTCTTCCAGCACAATGGAAGATCATGATTTCTCGGAGATGAAATGCATGCTTGAATAAAGGGGAAAACAAATCGGCCGCCCTTAACAATGAAACAAGATATAAAATCTGCACTCACAGAACAGCCTGGTTTTAATTTCTTTATTGCTTATAACATTTTGGTATCATCTGGATTGATTGCTGCAATGCTATTAGTCAATATTGGTGAAAAAAAAAGATGTGCTTGCATTGACCAAAGTGTGAACATTGTAAAAACATTTTTCAGCAAACACAGATCTCCAACAATATCCGGTCCCGCTGGGCAATTGTAGCAATACATGTACAAACATTCTCACATCTAGGTCAGTTGACAAGCTTCTGAAAACGCCAGACGCCTTTTTGCGGTGCGTCTGTTCAGTGGCGCCTGCCACACTATCAGCCCGCCCTATGGACAGATCCGGTGGAATGTTCGATGCACATTACCTGCAGTGAAAAGTGATTTTATTGTGGTTCTTATAGGCTCTTGGGCACCTGTTTCCGCATTTAGCGGTGTTGCCGTCTATGTAACTACCTCGCTAAATTTAGCGGGAAATTGAATTGGTGTTGAGGTCACGTGACGTCAATTTTCCCGCTAAGTCTAGCGGAGAGACTGAATTTGTTCATGGGTGTTAGTCATCTGACGTCATTTTCCCCACTAAATTTGTGTTGGGTCACCTGACGTCAATTTCCCCGCCAAATTTAGCGGGGAAACTTAACCCACTAAATTGGGCAGGAAATATAGCAAACATTTTCTGCTAAATTGGAGGGAAAGGAGATGTAAACCCTCCGCTCCTCGTCAAGTGCTGTGTTCTCCTTTCGCATTACAGAGAATTGTAAACGTCTCATTTTTTTTAACGCTGCTCTTCCGTGGAGCTTGTCAACCGATAGATATGAGAACATTGGCGTGTACCGCCTGAGCGGAGAACTCTGTTTTCCCAAGCACCGGTTTTGAAACCCCCCTTTTCTTGAATCCTTTCAAGAAGACGCTCAGTTAAAGGGCAACTCCACTCCATACTTTCGAGTTTGGGATTATGACTGTTTTTAGTGCAGTCAGCGTCCCTGAATTGCAAGGTGTCATTTTTTTCTCGTTATTGTGCGTAGTTTCAAAGGTATCGACGCCTTAAAGTTTTGTTTGGGGCGCGGCCAACAAAACCGAAACTAGCCGCTAGAGGCCCCGGCAACACTGGAAATCAGCTGCTATGTGAACGTGACGTCAGGATCGTTCTCGTTCAACGAGTACACAGGCCGAGCGGCACCTACCTCTGTTGCGCTAGTCGTCTAAAGATAGGAAGTAAGCCGATTTTGTTTTAATTCGCTGTACATGGTAGTTATCCAGCATATGCAGCAAGAGTTAGTGCGTATACCCAAAAGCTAGCGACTGGAAAACCCGTGAACTTGTACAATGCCGTACTCGGCGGCCGCCGTTGTGCGTGCGCTATGCCGCACCCGTTGCTTGTATACCCAAAAGCTAGCGACTGCAAAACGAGTCAACTCGTTCGGTGCCGTACTCGGCGGCTTTAGCCGTGTGTGCAGTCTTCCGTACTTGTCGCTAGGCCTAAATTGTCATCGAGGCTCCGTGGATGGAGCGGCGTTGGTCTACGCTGCGCTGCCGGTGACGTACAGTACTGGAGGTCCTCTCGCTTTCGCGCGGCGGGTGAGTTTTGAGACACGAAGCCTCAAAGCCCGAACACATGTGTGCTGGGCTGTACACGTCTGTATTTTATTTTTTTTTTTCCTCAGGCGCGTAAAAGCCGGAGTCCAAAGTCCATTTGCTGAACAGCGTTCACCCACACCTTCTCCAATTTCCGGTCCATTGGAAACTTGTGAAAAAGCACCTCCGTGCTGCGCAGCGGGCTGTTTGAGCATCCCACAGCGCTACAAATTTCACTCGGCATCTTTCGAGGAACAGCTGGGCAGTCTTGGGCGCACCGAGTTGCTCGCTAAAACGAGTCTTGGAGTCCTCGCAAGCAAATAAACAAAAGGCTATACCGAAGCTACATGGGCTACAGATAAAAGCAACGGCTAAACACGCCAATCACAAGCCAAAGTAGCGGTGGTAGCAGCTCAGAGAAGCGCACTCCGCGCAACGCCTGGACTGGAGAAAAAAAAGAATGATACTGACGTCACGGCCCAATGTTGCTTTAGCGATCGGCCGCCCGCTAAGGAGCAGCGGCTCGCGGTGGGTCGCATATTTATCATCAGCATTAGTTGAGAATGCGGCGTCCCACGGACGTAATATTTTGGCTGGGGTCGTATTTTGTGTCACTACAGCGATAACGGTAATTTATTTCATTTTGAGTTTTGGCCGGAGTTGCCCTTTAAGAGAAAATGGTGACAAACAACCCTTTAGAAAAATTGTTTTTAGAAATACGCAATCCACTGAACTTGGCTGCATGCTCTAGCATTTGCTTGTTCCGCCTTCGCGAATGACAAAGCCGAGCCGGTCAGTCAGCAAGTCGGTCGCTTGGGTGGCCAGCATGTTCAGAGTATGATAGACAAGTTTTCGTGCAAGTGACAACCCTGCTGTTTTCACAATAATAATTTTACCTTCTGCCTGGTTTAGGGCCTAACAAAGAAGAGTGGGTGCTCAAAGTATAGGTCAACAAGCCTCATTGAATCGTGCGGTAGCCTTTAGCGTCTTTCAGATTTGCTTACGACAATCGAATGGATTCACTAAACGGCGCTCCTCTACAACTGCTTGTTGTAGGTGCAGTACATTCTATTAGCATAAAATAAAGGCACACAGCTAAAGCACCTCAGTGATGCCTAGCAGGTAGCGAAACAAATTTCTCTAACAAAGCGTGCGTGGTTACCGAGACATCACGTTATTCAGAGTGCAGATGCAGAGTATAACCACTGTACAGCTTTGTCTCCATATTTGCATTATCTTCCAAGGTATTGTCCAGGTACAGGCGGCACTGCCGAACAGACAAGCAAATAAATAAATATTTAACAAAGGGTACTATTCAGTTTCGCACCAGCACCATTACCGTCTTGCTTCGGCAAAACAAAAGCGGTTCTTGCAATTGCGCAACATAAAAAGAATAGTGCAGGTAGAGCTGCATGGTACCTACGTTTCTGGATATCTGCTAGCAAAATAGCAGGTATTGAAAACAGGAAAATTAACCAGAGAGTGTGATGGGTTTGGGAAGGAAAGAAACGTAGACAAAAGGCAAGCAGTTCAGAAGACACGACCCACCGAGCTCGACCTAACGCTGTACGAAGAACAATCTGAACCTGAAATACTACTTTCTGTACAAACACAAGATAACCACGATAAATTGCCACCAAAATTAACGTACCAATTAGGCAGTGCTGTTCGTAAGTCGCGTAAATCGCCGAAGTCACAGAACGTTCACGAAACAAAACGGCCATCTTGAAAAAATCAAAATAGTGATGGTGATAGCGATGGGTCTTCTGTAAAAACTCCGAGGACAAATGTAATCACTTTTTTTTTCGTTTTCTTGTTTTAATTAATGTAAGGAACACATATTCATCTTAGCAGAAACTAAAATCATGGCAACAAAATAGCCTAAAGTTTGAACATTTAGTTGTGCCGAAATACACTTGGTAATGTCTATAAACCTTGTTTCAGTAATTAAATGCAAACAGAACACAGACTTGGAAACCCTTGCTGATAGCCTTTCCTTGCAAGTGTGAATGGTCCAGAGCCGATGCAATGATAGGCTGAAATACTTCGGGGACAGCATGCTTAAAGTGGCCAGAAATATTAAACGGGGTATATCTATCGTCTTTCCATCAAACATTTCGGAGCTTAATCTTCTCAATAATTACCTTCTCGCATGTTTCAAAGTAATCCGAGGCATGGATTCACCACACTATGTTTTGTCAAGTGTGGCATGAGGTATGCACCACCATCAGAAAAAAATATGATAATTTATTTAATTACGACAGGAAGCCACGAAAGCTGAAGATGGCAAGACCCGATCCACCAAAAAGGAGTGGGCCTAAGAGTGCAGTCTTGGTCCATGATTCATGACTGTAACCTATGATGAATGCAGAGAACAAAGGAGTCCATCAGGTCAACAGGAACCATTATCTGACCCGAACATGCAAGGCAATGCAGAGCAGGGGCAAATTTATGGGTCAGCCTGGGGGGGAAGGGAGATGATATCATGGGCAAAATGTTGCCCAGATCTGTTTTGTTAACCTAATATTTGTTATGTCACTAAACACCAACGTTACTAAAACGCTCAGTTGGAAAACTCACTTTTGGAACCTGGACCGCTGGCATTCACCGAGACGAAACTAAATATGATAACAGCGCCACCCTTTTGCGACGAATTAAAACATGCAAGTTGTTTTATTTAGCTACTGCAAAATGACCCTGCGAGATGGCGCCACGTAGAGTTCCTGTATAGGCTCTTTACAGGAGCCATAGTTGCATGACTGTTTTCCACGTACCGCCGCACCGCTACTCACCGAGATGCGATCATGTGAGGAGCAGACTCAAATGCCGTGCACGAAAGTACACATTGCACGTACCCTGGCATACGTTCCCCTACTTTTGAGCGCGCAGTGCTGCCATTCGCTGGATTCAGTCACATCAGGAGCAGGCTCCATATGCCGTGCAGGAAAGACGGCGCTCTGGAGATGAACACGCAACTCTGGCTCCCGTAGGGAGCCTATACAGGAACTTTAGCGCCACTCGCTCTTCTGCGACTCGACGGAACCACTAAGTGTAGCTGTGGAGTTTCCTTAGTGGCTGCTGTGGGAGAAATGGCGGCGTTGCAACAGACTTCTTCCAAAACCGACGTGCCCCATCGCGGCGAAATACCACGCAGTGCCCTCTGGGAACTAGTTGGCCACTTAGTTTTGGTTTTGACTGAGCAGCTTCATCTCATGCTATCACGCCGCAACCGAATACGCTGCTCGCGTTTTCGATTATCTGAATTTTTTTACGAATGTACAATACACTCATTCTCGAGCGATACAAAACGAAGACCGGGGCACTTTCCTTGGTTCCAAAAACACCGGATATTATGCGTGCATATGCAAATGTACTAAGACGTGGCTTAGTCACCTCACCCCACGAGTGCATCTTTGAGCTCAGTGTCAGTAATCCCGTCCAGTACCAGTGAACTACAACTGAAATTTGGTCACCTTGAGCCCTACACATATTTTGTTTGCCAAACGTACGCTTCTTGTTACTTCATTGGGCGAAAAGCAAGCCACATCCTCACAGGAGTATCAAAGTGGAGCCCACCGTTGGCGCATTAACTTTTAAGGAAACACATTAAATTCAACCTCACTACTCGAAAAAAAGAAAACTCAAACCAAAAGTTTAGAAACAACAGTTCCCGAAACGCTGGGAACTGTTGTTTCTAAACTTTTGGTTTGAGTTTTCTTTTTTTCGAATTGTTCCCCAAACCAGACAGATTTCTGTCGAAGATGTTTACTTTCAAACCTCACTACTACACAAAAGTTACTATGATGTCTTCCTCATGTCATCACATATCTCACACTCAAATTTTAAGCTGATAGAAGATTAAATTTTCGCAAACGCTAAGATCGGCTAGCTACGACGGAGGCCCTAACAAGCGTCCCCTACTCCTCACTAAGCCTTCTTGGACGAGCTTTTACTAACGCCCAAGATCTGTGCCTGAACGGTGTGTCTGAAATTATCTTGGCATACTCAGTCAGGAGCAAAGCAAACACATAACAAATATTATGGCTTTTAGCAACTGTCAAATGCGCTTTGAATAATTTCGTTCGTTCGGCGCACCGCAGAATTCATGCCCGTCCAGTGCACTTCCGGTGAACGGTGCAACATTGTTCACACAAGTGCTCGACTTCTGCTTTCTTTTTTTGTATGTGCGAATGTACCTATATTACTGCAGGATAACTTTATGAGCATACGTGATGTTGAATATTAGTGGAAGGGGAGCAGGCGGATTACTTCACTTCGTGCAGTGCTGTGGGGCAGTACAGATAAGAGATGAGAAGTGTGTTCGAATGGAGCTTTTCAATGGCGCGTCCGAGTTTTACTTCGCATACTCAGGCGTATTAAGAAAAACAGTAATTGCAAAAAGTTATATTTCGTCTATGGATGCACGAAAAACAACAACAACAAAAAAAAACTTCCTGATCTACAACACTAATGTAAAGGCGCGAGCTCGATGTATGCATACTTATTGGTTGCTACTGCTTGTTGATTTGTACACAAGCAAGATCCCCCAGCTTCGCAGCGTCAAGATTCCCAGCACTGGCTTGTCCACATACCACGAAACGCTAACAAAAAGGCTCAACTACAAAAATACAACAAGCATTTATACATCTCAGGCTTGTGCTAAAGCTTCGAGGTCTGGCCATTTAGGTTAGTTTAAAGACCACAAATGGCATTCTCGGGACCAGAAAATATGAAATAACGGCCGTTTATAGTCCACACTCCGTGTATAATCTCTTGTCGACGTGTCGATCGAAACCGAAACCATGCCACTCTCCTCCCTGGCTAACTAGTTCCCAGAGTGCAATGCGTGCCGTGTTGCATGCAGGAATTTATGGAAGTAGTCTATTGCGTTTAATTTGGTTCTCGAGTATGGATGGAAGCCACTAATCATTTCTTACTAACAAAAGCTGGCATATGTAGATTTTTCACTGAAAAAAGTTAACCCTGGGGGCCCTAGTCCCCCCACCCTTAAAATCTGCCCATGATGCATGTGTCAAGAAAATGAGGGAGAAGAGTGGAAGAGAGCACGCGGGTCAGGACACCCGAGCTCTGGTTAGAAGGATTGGTGGGTACACCTAAAGCTAGCTGCCTTTGTCTCCACTGCACTCGTCGATGACGTTTGAATGCAAGAGCCAAACACTGGACGCCCGCATTCTGCAGTCGAACGTGTTCAACGAGTGCAGCAGAAACAAAGGCTGCCTTTATCCCCACTGCACTCGTCAAACGCATTTGAATGCAAATGCGAAATGCTGGACACCGACGTTCTGCACGTGCAGTACAGACAAAGGCAGTTAGCTTTAGGTCTACCCACTAATCGTTCCAATCGGAGCTCTGCGTTTTGACATTCCTGCACCCTCATCCTCTCCTCTCTCTCAATTTCTTGGCACATAGAGTTCTGGAAGTTTAACAACAGTGGCTAGTGAAAAATCCGACATGACATCCACAAAAAAAAAAAAGCAGCTTTCTTTGGGATTTTTTAAAGGTGTTCTAAATTGCACAGCACTCATAGGATCTCTTCGCACTTGACCCGTCGCTTGTAGCACACTTCAGGACTAATCGCCAGACGACCGTCAATTCAGAAGACCGTCCCACACAATCTCGCAGGTCCCCCGAAAATGGGAGACGTGCAGAGGAGTGCGAGAATAGGCCAGCAGGGTGGCATACTCTCCCTGACACGATTCGGAACGAGCAGGCTTAAAGCCAGACGACTCCAGGGCCGGTTTGCTCATCTTGCGGCTGCGGCTGCGGCCGCGGCCAAGAGGGATTTCTACGTCACGTGACCAGCTCCATGGGGACAAGGAAGTACCGAGCGTCCCTGCCTAATGGCGGAGAGACCCGCATCGCTTCAAGCACAAAAGCCTAATGTCGCTCGCAGAAACTGATTGCAGGGACTTGCAACTGGAGTCCAATTGACCGCCCCTTTATACTGTAGGAGCGGCAGGTAAAGTTACGACCAGGGAGGGTAAATAGGAGCCAAAATAAAGAAAAAACCACATGAGGTAAAAGCGGCGGCAGTAAATTTATATACCTCCGCCGGCGCGTGCGCCTCGCGCCTTCTGTTATGGTCGAGAGGTTAAAGGGACACTGACACCCCCCAAAATATTTTTTTCATCTTTTGCCAGGCGCTTCATTGTGGTGCCGGAGGACTACCCAATTAATATTTTGCAGCAGAGTAGCGTATTTTTTTAATAAAGCCAAAAGACGCAACTGCTTGAAACCGAAACCGAAACCCGTGCACGGAGGTCGGAGAAGTGGAGAGAAGAGAGTGAGTGGCGGAAGTCACGTGGCTACATCCGACCGTGCTGTTTTTTTTGTTTTTTTTTCTCCTTTTTGTAGCAGACGACATGCGGCGTAGTGGGGACTGTTTGCCGCGCGATTCTTTTGCAGTAATGTTTGTTCCGCTCGCTGTTCTGTACTCCGAGATGAGCTGTTCTGTACATTGAGGAGTTGGAGATGAGTAGTGAGTCCCCGTGGTGAATTTCCATGATCGGCTCCGAAAAGAATACGCCCAAGATGTTGCGTGAAGAGCTGGCTCACATGTCCTGCATCCGAAAAAAAGTGGCATTGTGCGAAAGAGTTTCCGAAAGATCAACGGGATCGGGACCAATGGCTGGCTGCAATTCCTGTAGAACATTTGTGGGCACCTCGGAAAGCGGACGCTACCTGATTTATATGCTCCTTGCATTTTGTGGAGAGTGATTACATTGAGTTCGCAGGTGTCAAAAAGGAGATCCCATGCCATTTAATTCAGCGACGTGTCGTCCACAACATTCGTTTGTTATTTTTTGTTTGTTTCTTCAGTGATAATTATAAAAAAAGAGAAATGTAAACATCAAAAAAAAAAAAAAAAATTCATTGGGGATCGAACCCGGTTCTACCGCGTGTGAAGCGGACGTCTTTCCCACTGAGCTCTTTTCACTGGGTGATTTCCTTCCTTAGTAACAATGCAGTAAACTGTAATTTGGAAAGTTTGCTGCCGATTTTCATCCAGCAAAAGCACTCCCGGGTCAAAATCGGGAGGCACTACGCATTGGCGACATAGTAAAGAAATCGTACGCGTGCATATTCAACTCGAAGTAGACCCGTCGTGCTTGACGTTTCTGCGAGCGATGTCTTCAGCCACGAGAAAAGAGCGACGGCTCGGCGACGTCTTCGTGCAAATCGGCTTGGTGGTCGGGCGTGTTGTACGGGATGAATGCCAATTCTTTTGATGAGTCCCAAATTTCTCTTTTAAAGGCAGACAGAATTCGCCGGTACCGCGAACGACAGTTCTGAAGTAGAGGTCCAACGCCCGTCGTCCGCTGCCATCGCCGTCCCCGCGAGTCCCACGATACGCGAAACGACGCACGCACAGAATGATTCCGGTTCTCTGTGCAACTTTTTTTTCAATCAACGTATTTGCAGCTTTTTAGAAGTCACAAAAAATGGGTTTCATATTTTTTTCTATTTTTAATATTGAGTGTCTGACTTCAGTGACCAACGACTTTGATTAAATTTGGTGGTCGCTTCGATACCTTAGAAAACGGCCCGTGACCGCGGAAAAGAGAGTGAGCGAGGCTCGAACCGGCCAGTTCTTGATCGGCAGTTTTCGGGCGGAAAGAAACCGAATTTCGAGTCGCAAATTGTGTTCTGGGTAGTTGGGCTCTCATATGTCATGTACAACTAAAAACCTCGGCGAGCATATACACCCTGTCAGTGTCCCTTTAAAGTGCCGGTACTTGTCGTCGCGGCGTGAAGGTTCGGGGTTCAAATCGCGCCAGGTACTTCTTCTTTAATTTCTTTTTTTTTTTGTATTTTGCGCGTGTCTTACTTTTTAACTATGATCTTTTTTAGGAAATCATCCACTTGCAATACTGCGCCTTACACGGTTTTTACTGTTAGTCCCACCTGTTCAATCGAAACACCGGGACAAAATAAAAAAAAAAAAGTTCAACGCAAGTTAATGCGCTAATACAATCATTTCATAATTTTCATTAAAAGGAAACCAAGGTAACAGCATCAGTATGGCCTTCACACAAACGGAGCCGAAACAGGCATCCTTTCCTCAGCAACTACAATTCTATCTGTTTTTAAGTAACGCTCTTGCTACGATTCCTTTCAATAACAAGAGGCGCCTATTTAGGACTAATAAAAGCTGCAGTTATGACAATTAAAAAGAAACAAACAAAACAAAAAAAAAAAAAGACTACCTACTGTGGATACATTGATTGAGCGAAATCCTACAGGCAAGGCAGCAAGTCAAACGTCTGAGAAAGTAGTAAAACCGAAATAAAAGAGATCATACTTTTACTTGCATGGAATGTGATAAAAAGTATATTTATACTCTTTACATTTTGTTGTGGCAATCGTTTTGTAATATTAACAAATTACTTGTTGAATTTTAGTTAGATTAGCAGACGATCACGACCGAATGCAAAAATGAATCAGGTGTCGACATCGCAAACCCTCTCTCTAATGCTAACACCTAAAATGACTTTGAAAGAACAAATCGAATTCCTAATAATTAATTTCATTTATGATCCAAAGTCATTTTAGGTCCCTCTCTCCAATGCAAACACCTAAAATGACTTAGGATCAACATATAGAATTAATTATAATTACTTTCATTTCTTGATCCAAAGTCATTTTAGGGGTTTGCATAAGAGAGAGGATTGCGATGTCGACGCCTGATTCATTTTTGCATTCGGTCGTGATCGTCTGCTATGCTAACTAAAATTCAACAAGTAATGTGTTAATATTACAAAACGATTGCCACAACAAAATTTAAAGAGTTTAAATATACTTTTTATCACATTACATGCAAGTAGAAGTATGATCTCTTTTGTTTCGGGTTTAATACTTTCTCAGACGTTTGACTTGCTGCCTTGACTGTAGGATTTCGCTCAATCAATGTATCCACCGCTGCTAGTCTTTTCTTTTTTTTTTTTTTGCTTGGTTTTCGGAGTTTTTTTTTTAATTGTCACAACTGCAGTTTTTATTAGTCCTAAATAGGCGTCTCTTGTTATAGAAAGTAATCGAAGCAAGAGCATTACTTAAAAACAGATAAAATTGCAGTTGATGAGGAAAGGATGCATGTTTCGGCTCCGTTTGTGTGAAAGCCGTACCGATGCTGTTACATTTTCCTTTTAATGAAAATTATGAAATGATTGTATTAGCGCCTTAACTTGCGTTGATCTTTTTTTTTCTTCCCGGTGTTTCGATTGAACAGATGGGACTAACAGTTAAAACCGAGTAAGGCGCAGTAGTGCAAGTGGATGATTTCCTAAAAAAAGACCACAGTTAAAGAGTAAGACACGTGCAAAATACAAAAAGAAAAAAAAGAAGTCCCTAGGGCGATTTGAACCCGGAGGTTTCACGCCGCGACGACAAGAACCGGCGCTTTAACCTCTCGACCATAGGACAAGGCGCGAGGCTCCGACGCCGGCGGAGGTATATAAATTCACTGCTACTGCTGTTACCTCGAGTGGTTCTTTCTTTATTTTGGCTCCTATTTACCCTCCCTGGCCTTAACTTTACCTGCCGGTCCTACAGTATAAAGGGCCGGTCAATCGAACTCCAGTTGCAAGTCCCTGCAATCAGTTTTTGCGAGCGACAGCTTTTGTGCTTGAAGCGATGCGGATCTCTCCGCCATTAGGCAGGGAGGCTAGGTACTTCCTTGTCCCCATGGAGCTGGTCACGTGACGTAAAAATCCCTCTTGGCCGCGGCCGCAGCCGCAGCCGCAAGATGAGCAAACCGGCCCAGAAGGAACGTCTGCACGTCCGCAGCTTACGTTCCCTTGGGGGAGGGAAACCAGTGGCTCCCACAACAGACATTCACTTTTCCATTAACAAAATTATTGAGACTTCTTTAATACAGCCATCAAATAAAGCAATTGTGCTCAGCTGCTGAAGAGCTGCGCTTGTTTTGACGTTCAGTAGGTGCACCGAGAACTCCAACTGAGTTACTCCGTTCGGAGCTGAGGGAGCCGCTACTGAACGCACCATCACCACTACTGCAAGGGAGGTCACGTAGAAATATTGTGTCCCTGAACTGCTCCTGCCGCTTCAAACACCTTAGAGTTGTCAGAGCTGCTCACCGGTTTCAAGTCGTACCCAAACCCAGCAATGCGTGTCGCTGTGGAGGGGGGAATAACTCATCAGCTGCCCAAAAACTATATGAGTAACTTATCCCATGAGTAGTGGGCGTTATAGCAAGCTCGTTTCAAACGCACTGGCATTATGCGAGTCATCTCCCAGAGTGCACCGCACTCGCGGAGTGCCGCATGAAGAACCGGTCTCAAACTAACTTACCGAGTGCAGCCTGATGCTGTCACCATTTGCATTGTAGTAAGAGTGCAGACCTCAAACTGAAATTAGCGCTCCGCTGTTCGACATGACGGGCAGGAATGCGATTGTGAGTTGCTGCGACAAGCAGTTTATATCTGTGATGACTTCAAACAGCTCGGCTGTAAGAGATATTTACAGATGGCATTAGTTCCTGTCACAAGCTCAGTACAAAACAGCTGTAACTTTTTGTTGAACGATACACTGGAAAAAAACTGTTTGCGCAAAAGCTTGATCAGAGCAAACGCAAGAAATTGGAAGGCTAGGCACGCCTTGCGGAACAAAAGGATGCCCACACGACGCTTTCTCTGAAGCGTGCTCCTTCTGTACGAACAGCCCAAGTTAATTTTAGGGTTAGAATATTGTTTACCAGTTTCACGCTATTTTGGATGGGTGTGAACTTGGTGGCGGGCTCAGTCTCGTCGTAAAGTGGTACTCGGTCTTGTTGACTGATATTGCCATTTCGTTTGACACTGCGATGTGCAACACTCTCGAAGCTAGCTAGCTGTACGGCACGTTTCATTCTTGATTATCGCCGCTTGTCCAGAAAGCTCTGTGACACTTGTTACAAACGCAAGCTATTACCCTCGAGAATCCAGACATAATTTTTAAAAAGTGCTGGACTGTGGAGAGGCAGCGCAACTTGCTTTGATCAGAATCGTGGTGCGATCAACAAGAGCTTGTTTGACTCCTCGTCAAGTGACGGCATAGTGACTCGTGCCCCCGAACGCTTGGTTGCCCATCAAGCACCAACGTCCTGGACACATTCTGTTGGAGAACTTTTACAAGTGTAATCCTAGGGCTACCTTTGCTGCTTGTAGTGCTACTAGAGTTGGAATGAAATTCCATGTCCAGCATTGAGTCTCTGCCATGGTGTTTGCCAAGCTGAAAAACTGTGCTTCTGTGTTAGCAGCCAGTCAAACAACTGTGCCAAAAACAGCCCGTCGTTGAGAAAAGGGTGAAACTTCCTCATTTTGAATGTGATTCAGCTGCATGAGCGAGAGTGCTTGCCAGGGGCACGGACCTGCACCAATAGGTTTATTCCCCTCAAACTTCTTACTGAAAAAGGTGCAGACCTCTATTCAGGATTTGGAACAGTTTGATCTGGTGCTCGGTCGTGCAGTCACTCAAGTCCGGAAATATAGGGACTACAGGTCTTTGGGCTCTTAAAGGGGCCCCCCGGAGCGTTCTGCGATGGTCTAATTAAGGCGGTAACTCAATCTACAGGCCCTAAGGATCCTAAAAATCATAAAATTATGGTCATGCGTGGCGGATTTCCCTATCAAAGTTGCTATCAAAGTCCCCGCCACGCCCCCCTTTCTGAGATGACCCCGGAAAATGGGAGGGGCATCTCTTTATGCGTCAGCCAATAGCAAGCGAAGGATTCTGGCGTCTCTGCGCGTCACCAACGCGGCCGACCGCCGATCCGCAAAGGAATCTCTCGAAAACGCGCGGACCGTCGTCGTCAAGGAGCCCGAACTTAGTGCTCGGCAGTCGTCGTTCGTCGCACCGCACCGTCGCGCTGCTGCTGCAATACGCAGTCACATTGCACAGATGACAAGGAAAAGTTTGACTCGTTGACGTGGAAGGATCGCAAAGCTGGCTTCGGAGTCAGGATCCATGGGAAGAAGGAACACGGGTCCCGCAAACGCACGCCTGCAGACGCCCCGGGAAGCAGACAGCCGACACATCACCCCCTAGCAAGAAGCTTGCGGGGAGAAAACATAGTTCGCTGGTTTTGGAGCGATAATTGCGGACTATGTTTCCTGCACCACAATCATGTTACGTTTTTCTCAAACTCTAATTGAAAACAAGCTTAAAAAGTGTTGCAATAATAACATTCGCATTCACTCCGAGATGCAGCATTTCCATTGGTCAAGTTTTAGCGATGGGCAGGGAATGGGGGATTGTCTTCCATGAGAAAATAGTCCCGATATATTTCTTCTGCAGTCTGCTTAATAAACGGTTTTGTAATCTAAAACTTTGGATACATATTAACTTGCACCTACTACGCAATATAACAACATAAAAAGACGATCGCAGAAAGCTCCGAAGGGCCCCTTTAAGGACACCGAAAGAGGGCAACAAAAACCTAAAATAGACACTCTAAAAATCAAACCTTTATCTGTTTACTTTGCTCACCTTCTGTGATGCAACACGCCATCACATTCTACTCCGTTTCACCTTGTGTTGTACCGCAGCCGACTAACGAGCCACCGGAGCCAATCCAACTCTTTGTCGCTGCCAGATGACACTGTGCTCGACGTGCCGTTCCGCCCAACGGACAGGCCACGTGACGCACCTTCGGCACTGGATTGACTCCGATGGCTCGCAGCATTCAGAGTAAAGTGCGGTATTGCATTTTGTGCTCTAGTAACTCACCACTGCCGAACTGCTACGCCAGAAGCACTCAGCAGACCCCACCAACTCTGCCGCCCCTACGCTCCATTCAGCTCTACGCTGACAGGGCGGTAGGAGCCATGTGGTTGGTGGGCCAAGCTTTTATTGCCTCATGTCCGACCTGCACATCGGTATGAGAAAGGGGCATGATAAGTGATGCAAGACTGACAATCGGCTGGTTCACCGAGCATGTAGCCTCCAGTGCCCTGTCAGTTAAGGGGTGAATAAAGTCTAAAGTTGGCATATAACAGCCGTCTACTGTCCCACTCTCAGGCATGCCACCCTTGACCAGTCCAGTCGTTGATCTTTAAGCAGGGTTAAGCAATGACTGCCTCGTGCCACCAAACATGAAGGTGTCCACGGAACAAAGCCGCATTTGTGTCAACTCGCACCTTTGAGAAAATTGGTCCTGCCATAGCCCACGCCTCGTCGAGGTAGAAAACTTTCGGGCCATTTATTTCTTGTGTTGTACAATACCCCAAGAGGTACCTCTGTTGAAACGGAACTATCTTGACCCCCTCGATCAGAAGCGAGGCCCCTTGCGGCCATTCAGCGCCGTCTACTCATTCATAGATGTTGCTCCTTTCGACAAAATGTCTGTGGCGACAGCTGGAGCTAGTGAAAAAGCGGACACCATAGCTCTTTCCAAAGCACCCTGTTCTTCCTCAAGAGCGGCTAGTTCATCCAGGAACAGTGCAATGGTGCTTGGTGGTCTGTGATCGCAGACCACCACCAAGGGCGGCGGCGGCCGCCCCCCCCCCCCTCCCCCCCACTGACGTCACTCAGGTGACAAGCATTTCACTCGCATGACGTGACTCCAAGCCATACTCACTATGGCTGGCGACAACCCATAAAAGGCATGCGCTGGCCCTCTGACCCACGCGGAGTGCAGTGCAGGAAGTGGAACGGCATCGGTGATTCAGTCGCTGCAGTTACCCAGAACTGTTTTACTGCTGTCTCGGCGAAGGTGCAGGCTCGCTGTTTGATGCACGTAGGTAGAAGCCATCAGCCGCAAGCATCGGACACCTGCGGTGGAAAATTTTGCACCCAACAAAACAATAACCATGAGAACAGTGGTCTAGCCGGTGAATTGCAAAAACATAAAAAGCAGGCACATAAAACCTTGTCTTGCAAAAACACAAAAAGCAGGCACATAAAGAAGTATTTCTGTTACCTCGTCTCATGCTCAAGCATTATTTTGGATAGTATACATCAATAATGCCTGTCTCGCAGTGGCTTTCTGAACAAAATGTAGTAGAAAATACAACCAGTTGAATACCAAAAAAGAAGTACAACAGAGAGGCACTTATTTGTTGTCACTTTAACATGCACATTATGGAAGAGCACAACTCTTCGCGATTAACCTGTAGCAGAATCGCTTAGCAGTTCTGCTGCAGGTGTGAATGTACCACGAGGAAACACCATCGCAGGCCTACCAGGATGAACAGTAACATTATTACCCGCCACAAATTCGACGCGCCGGGAGGGAAATTCGCGAAGCCTGATCTGCTTGTAAATCCCGTCTTTCGACAGAACGCTTTTGTGACTGCACGAGCTCGTCAAAAGCTGACATTCCCAACGCGCTTGGTCCTTCTTTAAGTGCGATTACTGAATGCAAATGCGGCGCAGGCGGCACCCGGGAGCCACATGCCACTCCCGTTGATTATCTCTACTATCTTCTTTGTCCCCGACGCTACGTGAGGTAGCCAAGCGCTATCAGATTCCACCACTGCGGTGTCGCATCGACGATCGAACGCCACCAGAGTAGGTAAATTCCACTCACCTTTGACGTTCCGAACAAGCGTTCCACGGGCCTCCATGTAGCGAGACGGGGCCTGCTAGCTTGCATGAATGCGCTGTGAAGTTCACTGCCGACGCTCGTTCCCAAGCATTGAATATCACGACCAACTCCACTCGGCAATACGGCGGCACATAACACGACAACGTATAATACAAGAAAGACCGACGCGACCGCTCCTAAAAGCACCCAACAAACACTTGGAGAAACAAAAAGTAAAAACAAAAAATAAAATTGAAAAAAGCAAAAATGAACAAAACAAAAAAACTTTCGTCACTTCCGGTTTGTGTTGTTTTGCTTGTTTTTGCTTTTTCTCTTAGCCAATAGGCGTTGCAACCTTACTGCGGCGAAACGCTCGTGAAGCGGTTGGCAAAAACGCGTTCCAACCGCTCGATCCTAGCAGCTTTGCGGTTGAGAACGCGCGGATCCGCTTCGCGAACGCGGATCCGCTTCCAGTGTGAACGCGCCATAAGTCCGCGCTTGTTCTGCGGATGGCTACACGGGGGGGAGGGGGGGGGGGGGGGGGTGCGCGGTGTGTGGATGACTTGTGAGGTGCCCAAGTGGAAGCCGGTCAAAGTTCAGTGCCGGGGCGAGGTCTCGGTACGGAGCGGTTCCTTTTTCGAAGGATCGCACCTGACGCTTCTCCAACTCATGAAAATCATCCTCCGGATGCCAGAACCTACCGTGCGCCGTCATTCAGCGGGAGGCTGATATCGCAAGTAAGACAATAACTGATTGTGCGACCCTTTGTCGGGAGATTGTGGTAAATGCCGTCTTTAAGCATTCAGACATGATTGGTGGCGAAGGCGTGACTGTAGAACTAGACGAGAGTATGTTCGGTCGGCACAAGTACCATCGCGGTTTTCGACGGTGTGGCGCGTTGCAGCAGGTGCTGCAACGCGCCACACCGCCACACCGACGTTTTAGCGTCACGGGTGGAGACCCGTGACGCTAAAACCCTGCAACGGCTAATAGCCGGGTGGGTCCGCCCTGGAACAAAAATAATCACTGATTGTTGGACAGGCTATCGCGAGCTTGCAGATGACGCTCGCTTCACGCACCTCACCGTCAACCACAAGCTGCACTTTGTCGACGCGAACACTGGTGCGCACACCAATACGGTGGATTGCACCTGGGCCCATGTCAAAAGCTCTCTTCCATCTGGACGGCGCGAGAGCCACCATTTCACTGGTCACCTTGCAAAATTCATGTTTTAGAGGAGAGACAGGGCGCGCGGAAACACTGATAGATTCCAGTCGTTCGTCGCCGCGGCCGCCAAAATCTAGAGCCCCGACGCAGACAGGGCGAGGATTCTGACGGCCCCGGTGACTTCGAGGGATCCGCTGCGCTGAGCCCGTCACCCGCCTGCATGCATAAAGACGACTTATGCGCCAACCGCTCGTCAAGTGCTCGTTACGTCAGTTATAGGTTCTGGTAGCGGTCTAAAAGGCCCTTTTCAGGGCCCCCATACTTTGCAAACGGAGCTGTGTTTTGAATGCGGCACCCGTGTCTCTGTAAAAAGTTCACAGGAAAGACTCAGCAAAGGTATGTGGTCCCGAATTTGGATATCGGGTGTTATGATTCAAATAAAAATTATTCTTGCTTATTTCGCGCCTTTGATCTGATTAAATGCCGCAGTTGCAGTCGTCCCGCGGTGGCTGTTGCTCGCCCATTCGCCGTCGGCGTGCCTCAGCTTTGTCGTCTTTGCTAGCAGCGCACCGGCGAAGGCGGCCTCTGATCCGAATAAATGCCGCCGTTGCAGTCGCCCCGCGGTGTTGTTGCTTGCTCGATCGCCGTCGGCGTGTCTCAGCTCCGTCGCCTTTGCTAGCGGCGCACCGGCGGAGGCGGTTGATCGGCCAAACCGCGTTCGGCTTTGGCTAGCAGACGGCGTTCGTAAAATGGCGTCAGCTGTTGCTGGCTTCACGCGGCGGTACCGTGCGTGCTTCTATTCATTCGGCGTTCGTTGCCATGGTGACGGCGAGGAAAGCAGACGAACTTTATATTGCGGAAGAACGCTGCGGCGCAGCGATACCAGGTGCGTTCTAAAGCCCTTCCCGCATGCTTTTTAATGGGCGGAAGGCGAACAAAAAGAGTTCGAAATAAGGACTTAACGCAGAAGGCTGCATTTCTCCAGCGCCTCATAATTTGACGAGCCTTGCACGAAAAGCATGTTTTTAGACCGGAGTTTAGAGATAGTTTTTTTTACAACAACATGGGTCTAAAGTATCAATGTGCCGTATTTTCCAACACCTTCCTCTCGGAAAACACTCAGAGGAGAGGAGGTAGAAGAGAGGAGCTGGTGGAGGGAGCCGGTCGGTTTCTTTTTTGTGGATCTCCCGCTCAATACGAAAAAAAGGAAAAGCTAGGGGTTTGAAAGCCATACCACACCTCTGTGGTGCTGTCTAGAAAATGTTTAAACCGCTGCCGCATTTCCCCTCCTTCTCCTCTCTCTTTTACGGCAACCGGCCGACACACCATTTTTCTGTTCGCAGGAGTAAGGACCCACAGCCCCGTTCAGGCTACGGCCAGAGTGATGTGGTGGATGGAGAAGGAAGAGGCGACCGAAAGGAGGACGCTCAAGGGGTTTCACGAGTGCCTGAACTGGAGACAGCTCGAGTTTCTTACGCCGGTGCCTCCAGCACTCGTCTGCGACCTGTGCGGGATCGTAACGAAGTGCACGCTCGTTACAAATTGTCGACACTTCTACTGTACAGACTGCATCGACGGCATCACCATCGAATACGACGGATTCGCGATATGCCCCTTAGATGACAACAGACTGTTTTCAGACAGCCTCTGCAAAGTGGAAGGAAACGACGCCCTAAACCGAAGTCGTGTGCGGTGCCCTAACGCCGGCCACGGCTGCGAGTATACGGGGTATTTGCAAGAGGCGGGAGAACACTTTCGCGGCTGCAGATTCCAGCCGGTACCGTGTAGCAACTGTGGATCGACGTACGGCTACAGCGATTTTGTGTACCATCGTCTGCACTGCCGCAAGTCCACTTTGAATGAAACAAAGGCGAGCTCAGGGACAGACGAACAATCTGAATAGTGCGATTGCAGATGCTGTTGGGTGAACGGCGTTTCCGGTTGAGAGAAATGGAGGTGCGTTGGCTGTTCAAGTCGTGCACTTACGTTCAAACCAGACACGGTTTTTTCATTCATGGTTGAATAAAAAGAATTCTTAATTAAATAGCGCACGATGCACAGTATGTTCGCAATAATCATTTTATTATTTTACTAGCTCGTAATCACCAAAGCAACACGATTACTTTTGTCACCAATA